TTCAATTCTTTTCATTAATAGCGGAATTGTCAAACGCACGAAAGTGTAAAAGACTAGGAAGCCTAAATTGTACCAACTTTTTCGTCCACACAAGGATCTACGCGACTTTATGAGATTTTATAATTTTAAAAGTTAATTCGTAAACTGACTTTGTGTGTTGCAATCGTCGCATTAAATTGTTTCTGAGTAATTACATAGTTTGTAGCGTGCGATGCTTCCTGAAAGAACGCAGTAGTACGCTGACATCCGTACATCAAAACTTTATCATTTACGTTCGTGAAAGTCGATTAAATTAGAAAGAATCCATCGAGCCGCGACTCGTGGACATTATCGCCGATGCACTTCCGCAGAAACGGCGTAAAACGATGTAAGAGGATTAAAGGGCTCAGCCGATTGGCTCCCATTACCGGTCCTGTCCAGATTGTAAATCCTCCATAAAGCCATTGATAAATCACGCGCAACTTTGTGCGGGCGCGCGACTCGCCTTAACGACCGTTTCGCAAGTCTTCATGCTTACGGAAAACTTTAGTAACGAGTTTTAAACCCGAACCACGATCATGTAATCGAGTCGCGTAATCGAAGTCTCGTGTCTGATCGAGCGATTAATCAAAATCTCTGATGACAATTTTAATTGGCCGACATATATAAGTACATAATATGCATATTCATGCATCATGTAAAAAAAACAAATAGACAATGCTGAGCGATAATTGATAGATTTGTCAGCATTTACAGACTTTCTAGCTAGAAGGTTCGAAGCATTGCCGTCAGAAACAACTTCGTCGTTAGCGACCTTTGGCAATAACATTTTCGGAAAAACAATCCGAGATGTAACGGATGAGGAGAAGCTCTCCTCTGGCGAGTCCCGTCCCGTCCCGACGAGCATCGAGAACTAACGGATCTCACGCGCCCGGAAAATAAAAGACTTTATCATTGCACTGAGAAAAACGTCCGATTAAATATAATCGGATAATCCAATTACATAATAACAAACGGATATATCCGATGAAAAGTGTAATCGGTTTTTCAATCCAATTTCATCGGTAACTGTATTTCATCGGATAACTTAATCGGAAAAATTAACTGTCTAATATAAAAATTTTTCTCAGTGTGGACTTAGACTTAACTACACGCTTACGCTTTCTGACTTCGGCTCCGACCATCCAACCCACCCTCAACCTCTCCTCTCACCTCCACCAAACCAACCAACCAACCTCTCCCTATACATTTGCCATGTCTTAGGCGCAAAAATAAATTACATTTAACAAACTGTTTACCGCGTATCAAATAAATTCATAAAATATTTTTCGAGAACTTTATATCGCGCAGATTAAATTTAAGTTTGAGACCCGTGTATCTTATCGATACTGAAATCTTTCCCTAAAACAGCTGCCGGTTCAAAGTTTCCATCACTTTCCAGGCAAGTAGTGCATCTTCTGCCAGCTGACGAACAATTTAACGAGACGGAGAAGAGACACGTATATCGTTGTATGTATATTCACGATTCATGTAATCTATATTTATCAAGTGCTGTCGCTTTTATTCCTCCAAGAACCGAATGCGCACGCAGATTTCGCGTGTCGCATCCTGACGTAATGCTCTAGGTTGAAAAGTGTCCGTCTAATAAATGTTGAGGCGTATACAACGCCTAGTGTACATGTGGGACAGCTACGTGGGCGTGTACGTGTGCCGGTATGATCTACGGGGGTTATTACAACGGCAACGAGGCACGACGCGAGTGCCTCACCGAGGATACCATCGATTCTTCTCTACTCTTTGGCCCCTGCCACGATATAACATCTCGGGCCCCGACCGGCCTCGGTGTCGGAGTCCTTACCGGAGTAAATACACAAGTTGCAAGTCCGACTGCTGCATTCCGGCCGTAACGGGGTGTCGCGAGTACTTGTTTCTTTTTTTTTTGGTCTTTCTTCCGACCAACGGCAGCGAGACTACATCTGCGGGCAGTTAACTCGCGCAACGTCGACGAACGAGATTAACGTGCGAATGATATCTCTGAACAAGACGAGTTGTCGCACGAACGGAGACATGGCAGTTGTCTCACCTACGAGAGTAGAGGCTCGCGCGAATATGCAGCGGCTTAAGCAAAGTACGAGGGATGTAACATCTGCGGGTCCGCGCGAGATACGCGACGGCGCGTCGTACGCCGATAATTGAAGTTTGCCCCGCAAACCTGCTGAGAGTACTTTTCGTTATCCGTGAGCGTGAAGTATTATCGCGAAGGAGGATAAATGGAGAGAGCCCGCGCGAGTGGAAGAGGCGCGAAAGAGGAGGGCCAAGCGAGCGTTTACCCGTCCGCTCCGATCCGGTGAATGAGGCAGCGGGAGAGCAGAAGGAGAGAAGAAGAGAAAGAAAGAGAAAGAGAGAGAGGGGGAAGGAGGGCGAAACGAGAATCGAATGAGAGCCGGAGAGCGCAATTTGTAGTCGCTCTCATTTGTCACCGCGTCTTCCCCTCCGCTGTACACCCTTCGCCCTTAGTCACCTACCATCTTGCCCGGCTTCTCCGTGAAAAAGAGAGAGAGAGAGAGAGAGATATTCCATTTCTCCTCCTTCCACACGTTATATCTGTACCACTGTTACCACCACTAGGTAGGTAGATAACTCCCTCGTCCTTCGATTTTACCTTCTCCACCCTCTCCGTGTCGCTTGCACGCTCCTTCTACCGTTTCTCTCGCGCTCGCGTCTTCAATTCTCGTAGGACAATTCTCACCAGATAACAAACAAATACGAAGATCCCGTCGCGATATACAGATGCGCTAGTAGTAACGCGTGCGTAGAATTGATTGCGAACAGTCAATTGCAGCGAAATATTGTAAAATAAATCGTATCGCGCAGGCTGGAAAATTTATATTTAGAATTATCTTTAGCGTCACCTGCATTTAGTCTTTTCCCGACGTTGTTATTTTAAGAAGTCATTGAATCCTTGACATCTCGTGGTGACATCAAAATTTCACGTTATGACAAAGTATTTAATTTCGTTTTCTCTCGGGCTATAAAACGACGGAGAAAAGAGGCAAAAATATTGTAGAATGAAGCGAGACAATTCTGGTTCGATCGTTCGATGGCGCGAGACGAACACGACGACCGCACGGCCCACGATCGCCGTAATAATTTTGTAAAAAAAACGTCGCCCGGTCTCTCGCCCAGAAATCATACCTTCCTCGATGCCACAAAGAGCTAGGAGTCCGAGGGACCCGATTGGATTCAGCGAATGGCGCATTTCGGTATATTAACACGTAACACATCAAGCAACCATCACACGGGCGCACCTGCGCCACGTTAAAAGCAAGGGGCGCGCATACACGCGCGCACTTTATTATTTATACCCCGTTAAAGCCGCGTTTTCTACCTTTTTTTTCGACTCTCATCGCGCACGTCGAGGTGGAAACCGAATTCACGTGGCCCGGTTATAAATGTCCGCGTAAATTCGAGGCTGGTTAGAGATCGTAAAGTAGCGTGATATGGCCGAGATACCGGGTCCCGATGGCGTGGCACAGAAAATCATAAAGTCGATCCGTACGCCCCGCGAAAGGTCGGTGGGGTCCCGGCCTCTCTTAGGCCGATTGCTCGCTCACTCTCGAGTTTATTTGTCTTTTCGCTTCCCGGCCGTAGCGCGAGCCTTACTTTGTCGCGTCTGGGTGTCTCGCTTATTAATTACGGCATATTCACAGTCGTGTATTAACATCACAGTACATTTCAGAGAAATTCCCGTTGCCAACGGAAGATTAAATTCTTCCGGCTCCCCTCGGATATTTTATTAAAAATTTATTAAAATTTTATTTCTCCGTGTTGCACGCAAATTATATATATATTACATGTTTTCGTTCGCTTAAGCGCGTAACTGTTTGTATCAAACAACGCAATTATTGAAGACATTAAAACTATCGGTATAATTTTGCACCGTGTAAATAATATATAATATAATTTTATAACATGAAAATGTACATTTCTTTCATCAGAGAATTAAACGAATTTTTTAATATATTTTTTTACACGTGCATAGAGAAGTGCAATATTTAATTGTAATTTTTTCGAGATGCAGCTTATGTAAAAGCATTGTGTATCGCTAATTTGTATAATTAAATTCTTCTTATTCCTTCGTAAGTTTTATTATCTTTCGTCGCTAAATCTATCACCATTAGGTTGTACATAAAATTATTGCAAAATTTATATATCTTTCAAGTTACAAGGGCAGATACGGGGTGACGTTTCACTTTCGTACATTTGCACGTTTATATATTAAAATGTGCTCGCGAGGGGATTTAAAATGAGAATCCTCCCGTCAGCGATATATTCTACTAGTAGAAACGAAAAAACGTGCTGACCTTTATTGATAGTAGAAAGCAAGTGACTTAGACGTCTGGATCGGCCTGTCCAGCACAACTACACGTAGAAACGATACTGACGTTTCAATGTGTGGCTGCCACAACAGGACGTCCGCTCTTATTATTATAAATTATTTATTTGCATTTCCAAATGATCCTTGAAGAATCACGGTATTATGCTAATGCAGAGATTAACATATAGGGAGGCCTGGCGCGATATTTCAACTCGCCTCACCATTTAGACTGTGGGAGTCTAGCCACGGTATTTGATCTCTCCACACGACTCGAAAGAAAGGCGCGGGCCGAGGATATTTTATCATTTCTCCTGTTACAAAAAAGCACCTACGAGACTAAGAAATTCCTACGGACGGAGAGAGAACAATGCTCTCACGCTGAAATATTTAGTAGTTAATCGCTCTTTCCTACAGCGAAACAGTCGATAAACAGACGTTCCTCACTTTTACGCGGATATATCCAATTGGAAAGTAGAAACAGATACATTTTCAGATATTATTTTCGCAAAATAAATGTAGAGCTTTTCTTATCTCTATATAACTTGACAATGTGGCTCGTGCCTTTAAATACATTTCTTTTAGAATGCAATCTGACCAAAAAGGATTAAAAAAAGCTCTTACAAAATGTATTAAAGATTCGTACCTTCGTTGAATCAGCATCTGGACATAATCCGGTACTTGACGGCGTAAGGAAAGGACAAAATCTCCAATCTGTAAAAAAGATTGATAACGTATTATGAAGAGCGTGTTAAAGGATCAGCGCTAATGACGTGCAGGAATTATCATACTTATTAGGGGACAATAAAAGCACGGCCCTCTTTTATCTAAAATTCGATAAGCGGCGAACATTCTAACCTTTCGCTAATTTATTGCAACGCAGGCCGGCGGGTCAGAGATTTTTCGCGCAGCCTTCTCGCGAGAGGGCTGTCGGCCCGGAGCGCTCATAAATGACTTAACCAAACGTAATTAACGACGGCCTATCATTATGTAGTAGCGGGACCACACCCTCGTCACATTATATGTTTATAAATCAGCCCGGAACGGCGAGTAAAAACACGACGAAAATCGAGTGTCCAGAGGCGCCTCCTCACCACCGACCGTCCCGGAGCAGGTAGAGGAATTCTTATGCTAATGATTTTATGATCGTGGAAATGAATGCTCGTCATATTTTTTTAATCGCCTGGGTTTCCACGTACGCGAGTCCGCGGGACGGCAGGCGAAGGCCTGTGGGACTCGGAAATCGTTCCTTGTCTCCCACTGCCTACTTTATGTCCACCCGTTTTTTATCCCCGTTGTTACAGTCTTACGGGCTATGCCCGTCTTATATGCGCTGTCATAATCGTAAAGTAACTCCGAAAAGGACGACTTTCAGCGTTTCCGAAGATTAAACAAAAATGTTGGCGCGGACAAGCTTAAACTCAATAATTGAATGCGGAATACGTTAAACGAGGGCATTAAGCGGATATCGCTTGGCGTTACAAACAAGTACGTGTACGTGGCAATTGAAATGTAAAATATGAATGATTAAAGCCGGATAAGCAGGGGCGATAAATACAGTGAATCATCATTGAGAATTTTATTCAGCGTCTTACTGGATTCACCTTGTTCAATTATTCAAAGATTTATACGGTCGTATCGTTTCGTGTTTACATATAATTTACAGGGTTGTGAAAGTTACTTTATAAAAGTATCTCGTTACAGTTTCTCCGCTAAAAATGTAACTAGTTACAGTTACAAGTTACCAATTCTGAAAAGTAACGCGTTACAGTTACAGTTATTCAAAAAGTAACGAATCGTTACTTTGCAGTTACTTTCTTGCAATAAAAATAAAAATATTAAATCTGCATTTGAATTGTAAAGCGTTAATAAAGGCGTTTATGCACAAATGCAAGGCCTAATGCAATTTGTGAAGGTTTAAAATATATATGTATATAAAGTAACTATTAATGTAGCTATTAAATTAGTTACTAGTTATCGAAAAAATGTAACTGAGTTAAGTTACAGTTACAGATGGAGAGAAAGTAACGAAGTTAAGTTAGAGTTACCAAGAAAAAAGTAACTGTAACTGTAACTTCGTTACAAGTAACGAGTTACTTCCCAACCCTGATAATTGACTATGAAAGATTTTACTTTTTCCCGAAAGTTTAATGTACTTAGATAAAAACATTAATGGCAAAACTTTTCCGACCAAAATCAGTTCGCCAGATTTGCCCGAGAGTCATAGCATCAAGATCGAAGACTGTACGATATTCCGTATCGAGAAGGAAATTTACTTTACTGTTGTCAACGATTCTTTAAAAACTCTATCGTTTATCAAGCTGCCGACGGTGTCGGCCGCTCTCGAGAATTCGGCATAGGACGCTCCGGCCGTGCCGTGCGAAGAAGATGTCAAAATAAGTGCAGCGAAACGTACGGTAGGATAAGTATTATGAGGTAACAATTACATTGTGCTGCGGCGCGAACCGCGTATGCAAATGAAAGATCGCCGTAGACAGTGCCCACAAAGGTGCTCGAGCGAGTAGCGGACTCTCACACTCGCGCATTCCGGGCAGGTGTACTAACAGCTGAGTCCCAACCACCCACCCACACACGTACACGCGCATACACACCTAGGCTAACCTGACACCTTGATGGATACTATCGTGTCCCTTTCTTGCGTTGCATGGCATTGCATTGCGCAAGGTGCGTCTGTTACGATTGCCCTCTCTAGCGAAACTCACGATGCAACACTTGGGAGTGCATTGCATAAAGTGTGTGATGTAACGATATAAAAAGGCGCTTCATAGATCAATTATAATATCGCACAGCTCTCCCCACGCGAGATGATTGCGAAATAGTTGAGATATAAATATTGAAACTAATGTTCTCTAAGATTACAAGCGGGATCAGTTTTAATGATGGCAATAAGGATATTACAGACCGTTCCTTCAACCATTAATTAATGCTACCTGACACTTGGCTGATTCTGCGCAGCAACGTTAAAAAGTAACGAAAAATGAACAGTAGTTAAATCTGACTAATGATATATTTAACATGTTGCACAAATATCATGTATTTCATATACTAAGTGCACCCACATGTATACGGTCTGACTCAGCTTCTTTGCGCAGAGGATATTACAGAAAGAAACAAATGTAAAATGAAGGGTCAGAATTTATAAATTTATCTTAAACTCGCATCTTAAGCAATAACTTGGCAACGATATTTCTTTGCTGTGTGTAACAGCAATTATTAATAAACGCTCGAAAATAGAGCGTGTAAAAAAAGCGGAAGTTCGAAAGCTCCCATAGAGATGTTATCTCGTTCCAGAACAAACGTAACAATTCGTTTGTAAACGCCATAAAGGAAGAAATGATTTCGTCCAACGCTTCCTTTCGACTTGGCGCACGACACGAAAGTCTGTGACAAAATCTTGTTAGTCAAAGATTGTGGCGATCGTTACGTGCGTAAAATACAACTTCCTGCCGTCGTTTAGACGCTCACACCCGACTTACAATTAGTTTTGTTTCCTTGCGTATCATCCCTCTGGATCTTGCAATTTGCTGCTCTTCCCTGCCGAAAATATTTCTACACAAAATTCTACCAAAAAATATATATATACTACAAAAACTAAAATATAACTGCCAGAATCTAAGAAATTCTACGTAAATTTAAAAAGTGTTATAAAAATCGATATAAAAATGGTAGAATTAAAACCCTTTTGTTAATTTTGGTAATATTCTACAAGTAAGCGGATGTTTTAATTCTTTAAGATTTCGTTTTTTCTCAAATTTGTAAAACTAGTAAAGTTTTGTACTAATTTTTACAAAATCGTACATTTTCATGAAATACTGCCTGCAATCTTGATTTGAGAACATTGTAATTTGTGGTACTATTTCGTAGATATTTTTACAACAAAATAAACGTTTCACCGAGGATATAAAAATTTCTACAAATTTCTATTTCAAGTCAATTTTTTGTAGTTATTTATAGAAATCTTTTCCGCTAGGGTTGTCATACAGCGGCGCGCGAACTGACGCAAAAGAGTGCCGGGCCGATAACAAAATAAATTCGCGGGCAGGTGGTTGACTCGCGGGGCCAACAGGTTAAGAGTGCGCGCTCCTCGGAGTGACTCGGATCGCACATGCTTCTCCCCGGTCATTTTTACGCGCTATATAGGTCAAAATTAGCATTTCCCCGCAGTTAATTGCGTACGAGTGGCTTTCCGGCAATCGGCGCTCTCTCTCTCTCTCTCTCTTTTCCTCCTGCCCTCAGCCCCTCTCTCTCTCTCCCTCTCGCTTCCCGAGCTGCAGCGGCGCGTGTCAGTTCCGCGACGCGCCTTGCTTAACTCGGGTATGAAAATATAGTGCACGGAAATTACCGGGCGCGTAGGTGTATCCACTGTAGAAGCGACTCGAACAACGCGATCGATATCTTGACGTTGTGTGCGTTGCACGTTGCGAGAGCACGCTGGCCGATTCCGGCCGAGTGAGAGGCGCTATATCGATGACGAATCTTGATGGACTTTGACGGTGATTAGGGCTAGATTACCGATCAGTCTGAGGGGCAATTTCTGCGACGTCGTTTAACTTTAATCATAGTTCGATCACCCTCCTACGTCTCTAAAGGCGATATCTTCACCGTTGATTAATTTCTACCCCAATTTAATTGATAACATTTTTTCGTTCTCTTTCTCTCTCTCTCTCTCTCTCTCTTTAGAAATAGAATTAAGAAAAAGTTGAGGAAATTATAGGTAAACTCACCTATATATAAAATTGATGTTAATATTGGAACAATAAATCTTTCGAAAAATTAAAAGATTACATACGTGCTCGACAAGAAGTCAAATAAATTTAAAAACTAATAATTTCATTGTTCTTTGATATATTATACTTATACGTACATATAAAATTGTTTTCCGTCCAGTTCGGTTGCACATAGACTTTGTAATCTGCAACCTCTGCATGAAAACCCAAAAAAAAACATGACAAAACACGTCTAATTTTTCAGCGCCGAGTACGCACGTAACCCTCTAATGTAAATCTTTTTCGACTTTAACAGACTCACAATCAGAATCACATTCCGCAACTAGAAAGTAACGAAGATTAGCGGCCAGACTTCCACGCAGGAGGCAGGAAAAAAGCATGGCGGTGGTTTTCTGCGGCAGTTCGCCGATTGGACGACGGTCGGGGAGCAAGGAGTGCGTTTCGAGCTGCGAGGACGAGGCAAAAGAATGAAGTAGGGACGATCGCGCCCGCGGGGATGAAACAACAATCTAATCGCGGACGCCATTTTGTTTCTGCCTACCGGAGCAGTAGTTGATATATGATCCCATTGGCTACCAAGCTGTTTGGTTCCCAGCTCTGTACCGGACGGCAGGCACGACCTCAACCTTATGGTGCCCGCTATATAAGCCCGTACGCCCCGACGCTCTCTTCGGGTTGCCCTGGCAATTAAAATTCTTTTCCTCCCGCCATCGTTGCTCTCGCTGCTTCCCCGTCTCCGTGCTCGTCTCCTTCTCGATCTCCTCGTGTTCTCGACCTCCACGTCCGCTCCACCGTCAGCCTCCCCCTATTCTCCCCTCATCTCTCCGTCGTCTCACTCTTTCTCTCTCTCTCTCTCGGTACCCGACGCGATACGCGCCGGCAATTAAAAGTGCCCGCTCGCCCCGGACGTTTACACGATCCTTAACTCCTGGTAGCGCAGGGGTTAAGGGAACTGACGTGCTCGCT